GCTGAAGTAAGCCATTGGTGAAAGACAAGGCAATGCGAAAGCGAGTGAGATAGAAAGAAGCAGAAGGGAGAGCAAACAAAAAGACGAGTGCCAAGAAGAGTCGGAAGAACGGGTTTTTTTTTTTTTTTGTGTTTTTTTGGGGAAAAGGGAGGCTGCTCAAATTCCTTAGATCAAAAAGAAGAAAATTGTACAAAGAAAGAAATGTAACGACACTTCTTCATGCTAGCCTTTTATTTCATTTTGAAATATGAAATGACCTGCCATCCATCCATCCGTTATAAATTTATTTTTAAGCATTTTTAATGTTACATTTTCCATACTACACATCTATAAAAGTTATAAAAAAATTAATTTTAATTTTAATATTAAATTTGGATTGACTAGCGAAGGTTGGGATGATTTATATTTATGTATTATATAACATGAGAAATTTATTATTTGTTATCTAGTTTTAAGAAAAATGTTCAAGTATCTAGTTTTAAAAAAAGCATTCAACTTAGAAAATTATGAATAATTATTTTTAAAATTATTATTTTTGTAAATACATTATTAAAAAAATTCTAAAAATTAATTTAAAATTAACAATAAAGATCATTTCAAAAAATGAAAGACTGTGATGATTGTTTGAGCAATAAAACTGAATGCAGATGATGACGCGATTTGATAGGCAAACTTAAGAAAGTTTGGCGTATTTCCAGAATGTTTGATGAATATTTCTTTTCATCCTTTAAAAAAAAAATTTCCTGAATAAGTTATTTTTTCTTTCATTTCCAAGATGTATATTTTGTTTGCATTTTAATTATGGTTACAAATTTATATTTCAATACAGTTATAATCGATTTTTGAATAAGAAAAGCAGATCGGAGCCCACAGTGACAAGATCCAAAGGGTCTTCTCATCGCACTTCTTCAAGATATGGAGTCCAGACTTTTTAAAACATCAGTAATAAACTGATCACATTTGTAATTATTTGGGCTCCTTCCTATAGGTTCAAACTTGAAAGTCATGCCATTCTGCTACATTGACCAGACTCTGAATGTAAAACTGGAAAATGCTTTATTAAATGACAGATTAATTGACAATAGTTGAGTCAAGTAGAACAAATACAATGCCCATCATACAAAATCACAGTTTCAAACTTTGTAAGTAGAAAAACCTACACTGGAAGAGCTAACCTCCATTTGGGACATGATTATTCGAATTTAGAATACTCAATGGCATCAAATATCATTTTGTCACCAAAAAATTTAAAAAAGGTCTAAAAAACAATTATTTCTTAAAAATGCAAAACCAACAAGTGATCCATAAAACTTCCACCGCCACTGAGAATTCTTATTGGCCATCAAGTTTACATGAGAGAATCGAAATCCTAATGATTCTGTCCCACAGAACCATAAAAATGGACGCTTTATTATATGGGAAAATGACAATTAGGTCCTAAAAGATCAATTTTATTCAAGGTAAGTTCCAAGAGATTCTAAAAAGCCAGTTAAGTCCCTAGGTCCTTGAGTGGCATTTTAATATAATGAGAAATGACCGAAATACCCTTATTTGGCTGATAAAAATTTGAGGTTTCTCCTTCTCTACTCTTCCCTGCCCTGTTCGTCGTCCCTTCCTTCCCTGCCCTGTTCATTATCTCTTCCTTCCTTGCCTTGTTTATCGTCTCTTCCCTATCTCATTGCAAGTGAGTAAAGCTCTCTGTCGTCTCTTCCCTGAGCTGTCCAATAAAGCTGTCTGTCATCTCTATTTTAGTCTTGTTTGATGTCTCTTCTCTGCCCTAAGTGATCAGTTGCTTAGGTCATTAATCTGTAATCCGTTTTGGTCATTAATCTTTGATGGGTGTGATGCATTTGCTAGCTGAAGAGTCTGATCCTCATCAACATTCACCATTTTGATTATGCAGAAATTGCTTCTTCTTCAATTTTTTTCCCTGAGTGTCTTAGCTGAAGGGGAACTATGTAGTTTATACAAGTGATGACATACTCAAATGAATTTTAAGTTTGAAGTTATACATTGTACCCAATTAATCAAGTTTGCAACTTTGTAATTCTGTAATTTATTTTCACAATTTTATTCCCAACTTCTAATATTGAAACGTATTTATAATATTCAAGTTATACATTATACCCAATCAATCAAGTTGTCAAGCAACATAGATACCCAGTTTTGCAACTAGCTCGAGACAAATTTGCCACTGATTGTCAAAATTTCGGATGGAATAACCATTGAATTTTTAAAAAAGTTATTATTCTAGGACAATGCTCCAGTAATTTGTAATTCAGACACCAGATTTTGTAACTGTCTTATGAATAATTTGCAACTTCTTTTCAAAATTTTTGGTGGAAGAACTATTGAATTCTTAAAGTTATTATTGTAGGATAATGCTTCAGTAATTTGCAATTGAGACACCAAATTTTACAACTTTCTTACAAATAATTTGCGCCTTCTTCTCAAAATTTTGGGTGGAAGAACTATTGAATTCTTGAACTTGCAAAGCTACCAAATTATTTTAGGACATGGCTCCAATAATTTGCAACTGACATACTAGATTTTGCAACTTCATTATAAATAAATTGCAACTCCTTCTCAAAATTTTAAGTGGAATAACTTTTAAATTCTTGAACTTAAAAAGCTATCAAATTATTTTAGGATAACGTTCCAGTAATTTGCAACTGACATACCAAATTTTACAACTTTATTACGAATAATTTGCAACTCATTCTCAAAATTTTGGGTGGAATAACTTTTAAATTCTTGAACTTGCAAAGCTATCAAATTATTTTAGGACATGGCTCCAGCAATTTGCAATTGACATACCAAATTTTACAACATCCTTACAAATAATTTACAACCTCTGTTCAAAATTTTAAGATAACACACTTTTCGTGATTACAGAAGATATGAACTGTACATATAAGTTGCATGTATTAAATCATATAATGCATTTGCACATATCAGTTGTCCACATACACAAAAGCATGAACTTGGATTTATAAAAGAGGGGTTGCTATGTACCAAAAAAATCTCCCAATACTACCAATATATATGTATAAAAACCTATATATGTTAACCAAATCTAACTTGATCTAAAACTACCCATATATGTATATTACCCAAATTCAAGTTCATGTGCTAACCCATTTACAATAACATCAACTTAGTTTTAGATTTCTACATCTCTTCCATGTACGACCTGCTTTATAACAATGAAAACAATAATAAACCTTCTTCTGCTGATATTGAGACTCAATCCTCACATGACAAGGTCTGCCAACTGATCGAGATGTTCTAGGAGGTGGCAAAAAGGTTTGGCTTATGAGCTTAGATACTGTCAATGCATTTGGCTTTGACATCTCATGGGTCTCAACATGATACATAGTGCCATTGTATATTTTCTCTTATGAACTACAAAGATAACATGCATAGTCCAATACTATACTTGTAGATTGCTTGTCTACAATCATCAGCACTCATAAAAATCTGCCTAGGTCCCACTAGCAAATCCCTCCACTTTGTTGCATTTAGTTCAGGCATTGGTGTTGGGATACCTTGTATTACACATGATAGAACTTCAAGATCTTATGTAGTATGTGAATTCTTAGCTGAACATCCTGCTCTGCATTTTCATTCAAATCATGTTTAGTACTACCATCCATATTCATATTAGCATAATATTAATTATGCAACTATTAAAAAAACTTATCCATCAATTGAATCTCTTGTTGCCTTTGTACTTTGCTGTGTCTTCCCAATGATGTACACATAAGCAAAATTATCATTCAATCTCATTAATTGATTTATCCCTTCAACATCTTTAAGGTCTAAAAGAGCATTGCAATTAAACTTTACTGTGTAGTTCAACTCTATTCCATTTAAATCACAATTCAAGCATGATGAAATTAATCTAACAAGTCCTTCAAGAGACATTCCTTCTCTAATCATTCTTCCATTACAACTCCCCCCATCATAATGCATTGTCCCATGCATATCTTTTACAATATCTCTACCAAAATGAAAATAATAAAAAATTTCCTTTAAACAACTACTTTCCATCGTACCCAATAATATCAACCTACAAGAAATAAAATAAAATGTAATAATATATCACTTAGAAACAAGTTACTTTTGACATAAGTGATTTTCACATCAGTTAAACAGTGACAGCGTTCTATCTTAAAATATGGACACTCGATAGTAATTTCTTACACTTTCAGTTGCAAAATGTCGAATCTTCATGCCAAATATTTAGAAACGTGAAATAAAAAAAAAATCTTTCATGTTCAGTTGTAGAAAACCGTTCCATCTTTTTCTTTATGAAAGCCATTTTTCAAGAAATCAGACCTTCATGGAGTAAACCTTTTTGTTCAGATGCAAGGATTTGCAAAAAATAAAAAAAAACCTGTCTACATGCATCAGCACAACTCCTTAAGCTTCCTTGAGTCAATAATTAAGACAACTCACCTCTTCCAAGCATAACTCTATTTCAGGAATGGGTATTCTTCAACATATAGCTCCACCACTTACATACAACTCTTATTAATGGTAGGAAAGAGATAAATCGGGAGGGAAATGTTGGAGCTGATGAGTGTATATGTTATATTTACTCATAGGGGCATTTTCATCATTTCTTTCGTAATTCTGATTAGGAAAAAACAGCATGAGATTTGATTAGCCTTTTAAAATTAGTTGAGACTTAACTAGTATAAAATTAATATTTTAGGACTTGATTGTCATTTTCCCTTGTTATATTTCTTACAGTGACTTGTGATCCAATTCCAAATTATATCGCACCGAATAAATGAAACAGTAAGTTACAAAGGCAAGTCAAATTTTGTTGAATTTATACAAGCATTCTCTCAATTAGATCTAGACAAATCTTGCACCATAATTTTTAAACTAGTCTTACATATTTTGACTAAAATATCCTTCATTAACCACGACCATTAATTTGCGGAGGATATTTTTGTCCAAAATAAAATTTTTAATTAGACTAAAGTGCATTGTTTGAACAATAGCGTGTTTCACTCTAAATGGAACAATAGTTCTCAGTACAAGAAGGCACTTGTGAGGCTGCATGCATTTTCCACTACTAAATATGTTTTGAGGTCGCTGTGTTACAATACCATTTCATTTACTTTCCCCCTCGAATGAAAGGAAACAAAAAGCACCCAAAATAATAATAATAATAATAATAATAAACAGACAAACAACAACAAAATAAAACAGAGCACTCTAGCTGCCATGGATATCTAGCTCCATTAAACTCCTGCATCCAATGGGAGGGTTAATTAAGTACAACAAATGAACATCAAGACCATGGGCTGCTTTAGTAAGCCAATTGACAGACTTATTGACTTCCCTTTTTAAATACCATTTCCAAAGCTGAGTTTGGCTGCCCAGTCTTCCAAAGAAGTTGCTTAGAAGTGTGTACGAACAGCTAAGTTGTAAACCTGAAAGGCTTGCGCAAGCAAAGCTGCTCAATGACCCCCTCCTTAAATGATTTCTTTATAGGAAAAAGCCTGATTTCATAAAGCTTTGGCCATAGTTTTCCGGTAACTGCAATTAAGGTTGCATACAAAAATGAAAAAAATTAAATAGCACCCCAAAACTGGAAGAGGTTAGAAAACATCTAAAGAGAGTATATTATAATGACATGTTAGTAATAGAACAGTATATATAATGATGATCATTACACAAAGATACCCTCATTTTTATTTTTATTTTTCATTTGTGCATTTTGGATGCAATATTTCAATATTTAAGTTAATAGAGATATTTCAGCCAAAATCATCTGAATTAGATCAAAGCATATATTTTGAAAGTACATGAGTATTCTTAACAAAACTCAAGAGGTTGCGTAATTCACTATTTAAAAAAGGTTATTTTCTATGAGCAAAAACTTAAAAAAAAAAAAAAAGCAATGACCAAATTATTGGATAAAATATTTTTATGTTCTCCTTCATAAATTTTCTGAATTATTGTTCTTTTGCATGATATTTTGACATTTTCAAGCCATAAATAAAGTAGTAACAATATGCAATCTTTCCCGCAAGGACTCGTATTACCCTTTCACTGGCATTTTGAATTACATACATCACATATAATAAATAAATATAAAAAAATAGCAATTTTAGGATGGACGAAACTATCACATGCTCTCATGCCACTTGTTAAATATCCTAATAAGAATGTTTGTGCCAGCTTCTAAATAGAACTATGCATGAGTTCCAATGTATCTTTATTAGAATTACAAATAAAACAATAACAAGTTGGAGCTTACCAAAAACTCTCTTTTGTTCACTATCCCATGCTATGCCATTCAAAACATCAATACCCTACAATATACCAAAGCATTTGTGTAATGATGAGATAGCCAAATAAAAAATGTAACAATAGTTTAACCCTTTAAATCATTTTTTTTCCCTTTTAATCTAACTTTTGACTCAGGCAATCAGAATGCAACATAAATATACTAGTATAGAACAATATCCTATTTCAAGTTGATAAAAGGGCTCAGGTTTCTTACATTAATCCCACCAGCTGCAATCAGTTCTTGCCTGCATAGAATAATTAAAATGCAGCTATGAGAAATAGATAACCCTCACACTTGTGAGTCATTAAGATAAGTAATGTGCATATGCTTAAAAAAATCAATTTATACAACGAGAAGAAATAAGAAGCAAGACCTCAAATTTGGGAGGAGAATCCATCCAAGAACACCACCATCCTTTGGAGAGATCTTTGCTATGCAATCAGTCTACGAATTAAAATATATCAATGTTTTCAGCACGGCACAGAACAATATTGGACCATAGATATCATAAAGGGATGACATTTATTGGCACTTTGAAGACGAGCAGAAAATAGATTATTTTCTATAATCAAACCATGACTCAATTTATAAGGGCATACCATATATACATTGGCCCAAATTTCACCATTTATAAACTCCAATTCGTTGAGATTGTGTACTTGATGTCCTTTAAAGTGGACAACTTGTTTAGATATAACTGCAAAAGTAATAGCCAAGAAAATTCAGTGAAAATATAAAGCAATAATAAACTATTGAAGTAGCATCGAGCCGTCAACATTAAAAGCCGTATATAGACTTATAGGCATGCGCACACACACAATCTCAAACCAATATGGATGGCACTGAAACTAGAATATACAAGCATTGCTTTTATTCCCATGAAGTGCATTAAGAAAGGGCATTCTGTGTGTGTAAGAGAGAGAGGACCTTTAAATGTATGAGGATCAATATGATACAATGTTGAACTGCCGTCACTTCCATATAAGACTTTTCCGTCAGTTGCCAGACCCCAACCATCTTTCATCTCATGAGTGAATTGCTGTAACTACAGGGGAAAAAAAACGTTGTTTGAAATTTTTCTACCAATATGAACTGGCAATTTGAAACATAACCTTCATTAAACAACATCTCAAGAAAAATTATAAGAACAAAGAATAAGAGATTGGTAATTTAAATTTGGTAGAAGTCCATAACCCAAGGGCAATAAAATTCATAATGATAATTTTCAAGAATTTTATAAAGATTGCATCTAAATCAAACTCTCATCAACTGACCACCTATTGCAACTAAATAAGCCTTCACCATTAGTAGAAACCGTGTTAACTGAATCTAATGTACACTGCCAAGATTATATTCTCCTACCAAATTGTAAAGAAAAATAATACATATTTTTAAATAATAAAAAAAGGTACAGAGGTACAATTAAAGTTATGATCTTTCTGCCTCAGATTATTGCACAGATATTGTCAACTGATATTACATCTATAACCATCTGATAAATATTCCAGCATCCTGGTTTGGGTTTGAATATTGTTAGAAAATTGTCAACTGATATTGGCAATAAAAAGAAAGGAGCAAATATTGTTAGAAAATTGTTTTCACACAATAAAAATTAAGAACAAATTTTAAAATAACTATTGAAGAGAAAGAAAATATCCAAATAACTATAGGAAAGAAAGAAAATTACAAGAGGAGCAAGGTAAATGAGGGAATCCAAGAATAATTAAGCAACTTAAAAGAAGATGGATTGAAACAGGTAAAATTAAAAACATTTCAAACAATTACCCAATCAATTGATATAAAGATGATGAGAATTTAGCAATTGATATGAAGAATCTTGATTGATGATCTTTTGATCACGTAGGCTCATTTTCTAATGGACATGCGTATATATGCCTGCGTGTGAGTTTAGCATCACGTCTAATGTGTGCCATTCATATCTAGATCATTCATCTTGTGGCGCCAAAAATGTAGCAGTTTCTAAATGTACGAAAGAAATTTTATAGCATATTTTTTAAGAACTATCATTGCAAGAAATAATGTAGGAGAATTAAAGGAAGAAAGAATACAAGATCAATGGCCAAGAAGTTCCCTCCTTCAAGGGGGAAAATGAAATCAAGAAGAAAAACACGAGTTATTCAACATATTTTTAAAAAAGGAAAAGTCACATTTTTCCATTGTTTTTTCCTATAATCTAGTATTTTTGATAAAAGAGGAGATAAGAGAAGGTCACATATCAAGCAAAATAATTTAAGTGAAACAAAAATTATCGTTAATCATGCAGCAGAGCCACCCATACCTTTTGCATATCTAAAAGAGATAACTACCTTAAATCCTAACATCCCAATATTTGATCACGTTTCCCTTTCTGAAAAACAGAAGCTCCATTCGAGTGACCAAGTTACTAAATCAGTAAGAAAGACAGATTGCCACACTTTGGCTTACCTTTCACCAATAAGAGTTAAGCCTTCCCCGAACAAAGAATCATCCATCTTTTGAAGAACTTCAATCTGTATGTAGCAAATAACAACATAAACAAAGATATGAAATTTAACCCAAGAAAAAATAAATAAATAAAATTTGATATATTGTTATCTTATAACAGAATTCCCAAGCTAATAGCTGACTAGGATCAAGTCAGTCAAGTCAAACAAACTTTTTAATGCTTGCTGTGTATTGAGAGCATCAAATGCCATATGACCAAATATTCAGTCAAGCATGACTAGCATGCCTAATGTATATACGACAAAAATGTGTATACTTAACTAGAACTGAGTATATAGAAAAGAACACAGTAAACTTCAAAATCCAGGTTTCTGTACCTGTCCAGTATGAAGAGAAACTTTCCTGACAGATGACTGAAATGACAAAAAGATTAAAGTTTAGTGATAACTTTCATACAGAAAAATAATTTATCCAATCAATGCAAAGATAACAACAACAATAAGCCTTATTCCATTAGGTGGGATCAGTTACATGGATTGCACGACACTATTGTGTTCTAGTATCAGCCAACCTTTTAGGAATATTGATAGTGAACGCAAAAATAAGAATAAAATTAAAGGATCAAATGCTGTACTCATTCATGATTCACAAAATAAACCACACAAAATACAGAAGTTGAAAGCAGTCTGGCCTTCTCTTAGATATTACCACAATTGAGAAAGCATTGCACTGGATGCTCACAATCAAAAATTGAATTACTACTTGCTCATAAAGCATTTACACAAAAACATGTAGGAAGGCACGAATAAATTCAAACAGCTGCTAATACTTGAAGCTCATGTAACCAATAACCCATGCTAGAGAAACATTGTCTCATGAAATAATTTTTCAGTGGATTCATTGAGCTTTTCTCCGAACCCAACTCTTAGTGACAGCAACCCCACTGGAATATAACTGTACCATAGCTCCATATAATTGGAAGGTGACGAAAAGAAACTTGCAGTTTCACCTAAAGAAACATTAACCATACCAACTAAATCCTACAAGCATTTCTGAATGAATGAATGAAAAAACGAAAACGCACAATTTCTTGCTAAGATCAAGAACACATAAATCCTTCCAAAGGTACAGGGTATGATGGCAATATGAAAGGGTGGCAAAAACGAAAGAAGCCAGAGAGAAAGGAGAAGGGGGTAAAGAAGGGGGGACAAGAAAAGTGACAAATAGAATACAACGCAACGTTACCTTCCCATAAAGACCAGTTGACTCGAACAAGGTATCATTTTCAGCATAAAGAAGGCCCTGAAAGTAATAATAAGAGAATAAAATATGCCTCTCCCATGAGCAACAACCAGATCAATACCATTTAGTAATTTTCATGCTTCCAATTATAATGATTGCAAGATACTTCTTAAACCCAAAGGACGAATAAAAACTCTCAAGCCTCTACCATAATGAAATGCATAGAATATCAAGGTGCATGCAGAAAATTGATAGGAGAGAAGGATTGAATAAAACACCCAGTCATTTTAACATCCCAGAGAAGCAGATATTGGTATCCATGAGCTTCAAATCATCTAGAAAAAAAAAAATCAATTTAAAGTGTTTTAAAAATTCACTAGTAATCAAATACCAGCAAGCACAACTAAGTGATTCAAGCGGTAAGGCATGCTTGAGCCTGAGGAAAAACACTTGCGGGTATAGACATTCATGAACCTCAAACTTTAGGGTTTGTGAAGATCTTCGCGGGGAAAAGAACCATGAAACAGCCAATACCCGGAAAGAAAATACATAAATTGGAAATTGAACGCAGAAAACACAACTGTAAATTCACCCGAAAAAAAAAAAAAAAACTCGACACTGAGTTCAATTGATCGCTAAAACCTTAAGCGCATTACCAATAAAAGTAAGATGCCGAAGATAAACATTACCTGAGTAAAGGCGTCAGAATCGTGAGGAAATTCGTTGACCACACGAATAATCTCATACGATACTCCGGGTTCAATGTTGCACCTACTGTTCGACCAAATGACGAAGAGACCAATGACAGCAATGGCTAGAGAAGCCAAAAGAAGCACAGAGAACTTTTTATCAGAACCCACCTTACGCCGCGAAGAAGCCATGGAAGCCTGAGGTTCAAGGTTATGCTGCTTAATGGGCCTTCTCTTCAGCGATCTGGCCCCCATGGAAATGAGGACCCTTCAAGTTTCATGGAAGATCAGATAACTTGACGATGCGTACGATCTCACGGAGTTGCAGATGAAGAATGGCGCTAAAATGAACCGTCCTTGTCTCGTCAACCATTCGGTTCACCGATGCCTCTATCCTGGAGGTTAGTATCGAGAAAGAATGGAACCGAGTCAATTGCCATTGACATTCACTGTAATTATAATCTTATGAAGGGTTAAATGTCATATTTGATCTTCAGTTATTTGATGAGATCTCGCCAGACATAGGGTCCTCAGCTCATTTTGGTTTCATGAGTTGTGTCCTCAACATTTAAAAGGGCATGATTTTTAACCCTTGCTGTTAACTCTAAATGTTGAGAGTTAAATGTTGGAATGAATCTAATTAATCGACTTTTTGTTCGGTTTTTTTTTTTTTTTTTTAAGCCAACGTAAACCAATGTGGAAGAACAACTGGTTTGCTAGCAAGAGCTAAGAGTAATTGGGGCAATAAAGCATAGTACAAAATTCCAAAATGACCAATTTAACTAGTGAATTGATTTGGTAAAAAGTTCTGAAAAATTGAAAAAATAGTGACTCAAATCAACCTATCCAACTAGGTGTTAATACGGTGCAAACTTGTTCACCCAACAAGTTGACTACTTGGGTTGAGTTTTTTAAAAAATAAATAAATAAATAAATAGCAAAGTAACTCATGCGGTTGGAGAAATATTAGAACTAAGTCAATTGCTAATGACATTCATTGTAATTATAATCTTAAGAAAGGGTTAAATTTCATTTTTGAGCTTGAATTATTTGATGATGGGATAGCTAGACTAGTGTTCTAAGCTCATTTTGGTTTCATGAAATGTGTCTTGAACATTAAGAGAGGCATGATTTTAACCCCTGTAAGAGAATTTTAATTAACCGGTTAATTTGGGTTTGAAATCTATTGATGAAATCATCGGTTTTCGCATCTATCATTTGTAAAATCCTCTAATACTTATGCTTCTTTTGTAATATCCTCCTCATTATAATCTCATAATTAAAACCAAATCTCAAGTAAATAGGGAATAGGATTATAGTAATTATCAAAATACAAAAGTTTTTAATGGTTAGTAAAATGGGAACCTCAAGTTTACAAAACTAAATTCATTTTGAAATCTTGCAATTAGACAAATCAGAGTTTACAAATATACAGAAGCATGTGATCATTACATAAGTGAGTTCATTTGTTTAGTAATTTAAAACAGGAGAATTTCTTGAAAATTTTGAGGCGTGCACTATGGCTCATTGAACATGCGCTACGGCATGTTCGCCTTTATGACATGCTCTGTGCCTTGTGGCACCATGCACTGCGACGCAATTGCATAAATTTTGATAGTGAATTCTGCTGTTAATTTGACAGTATTAAGGCCAACTTCCGCACGTCCCAAAACTCTATCCGACATCCGAATGATACGAACTAGGTGTCTACGGAAAGCTCTTTCGAGCCCTAACTAGTGGCATTAGTCTCATATTCAAATTCTTTTTAAAACAAAATATGGACACTCTTTTCAAAACTTACACTTTTACAACAATTTTTATAATTTCAAGTGTCCAAACCAAATACCAAGGGCCAATAACTACCAACACCAATTTAACCACACACAAGTTATTAAGACTAACTCGTGCAATGCACCCTATCACATGAAATATTCCCTGATCAAATCTTCACTACTCAACCCTTTAAACTCAAAAACATAAAAAGGGAAAGTTTACCAAAATTTTCATATTTTGGCCTTATCACAATAACACATACTCATCAACTCATTCTCTAGAGCCTAAAATACACTTACGATTTACAATCCACATAATGCAAATAAAGAACAAATGAGAATTTCTAATTGGCAATTGAAATTGTCATACATATACATTTACTCAAAATAAGGAGGGCTACTACAAAAGGATCGTGATCCTGAGCCTCTGGGTGTTTTTCTCTATCTATACCTCTTAAGCTATTTTCTGTAATATTAAAGATAATGGGGTGAGTACAACTACTTAGTAACTAAGGTCTAACTAACCTATACTAATGCATGTCAATTAGTTTAAATGTAAGTGGTAGTTAATGTCAATACTTTAACCCATGTAAAATATTTGAAAATAGATATTCATAATTCAACTCAGATAATAGCATTTACTTAAGAAACAATGCTCTTTAGCACTTTTTATATAAAGAGAGTTGGTCACACAAATCATTGACAAATACATTAGAAGAAATTAAGACTCAACTCATGATATCATCATTAAGGATACAATATAGACAACAGGTGCCCTTACTCACTATATGCATGATCACACCTCCCTTATATTCTCCTTATTCCTCTGACATAAAATTATGGGCTATAACTCAATGGGATAATATATATTCCTTGACTTTCCTAGCCTAAACACTTGTGAGGGGATTACTCGATCAAGGCTCACCCGACTCACTTATGGAATACAGTTTTTCCCATTTCTCACATTTTGGGGTGTCATACACTTTAGACTAGCCTCCTTATTGAACCGATGGATAGCTAGCTAGGTTCAAGTCTCTCATTGAACCAATGGGATAGTCCCTCATTGAACTAGTGGGACAGTATGGATATAATCAATCCAAGCAAACCATCACATGGATGGGGTCTTACTATGCGGAATTTATCATCTACTCCTCTTCCTAAGCGAGCTCCTACCTCTTAAGATCATGCAATGCATATTCATGTCATAATTCACATATATGCAATTCATAAAACTTTACATTATCAATTTTCATTGAACTTCATTATTTCACAAATCATTGAACTTCTTAAATGTATTTTCATGGAACTTCAAACCAACTAATCATTGAACTCCGATTTCATAATCATTATACCTCGCACCCATAAAATCATTGAACTCTACCATTTTGAATATCATTGAACTCCTCATAAAAAAAATTCATGTTACTTCTCAATCACAAAATCATTGAACTCTCATTTCATAAAAGAAGAATCCACCGATATTGTTCTCAAAAAATTTTACATCAAAAGGCATAAAACTCACAAAATGAATCTAGTGGATTTTCTAACAAATCAAGCCACACTTGCATTTCTTCTTAATTTACACATTTCAATGATCAATCATAAATCCATAAACTAATAAACACACAAAAGCATAAGATAGAATTCTTCCAGTTACCTTAAACCTTTGAGAGGTCAAAAGTTTCACCCATTAATTACTCACTCCCAAAGCTTTCAAGAAGCTGAAACGGTACCAATAGTGGTTATTCTACAAGCATTTACCACGCAAAACATCAATATCTATTTTTGAGCTATTTTTCACTAACACTTCATCATTTCTTAATGCTCAAGATTTATTCTTGACTCATGTAAAGATACCCATAAGGCTTCTTAGCTTCCTTTAACTCTCATAAATAACATTGAACTCTTAAATGGTCATTCAAGAAGTCACATTGTCCCCAACCACCAAATTTATGAGTGTTTTAGACATTTAATGTCCTCCAACCACCAATCATCACAAAACCATTAATACTAAGTTTACTTAGCTCAATCTACTTCCATTAACTCTATTTAAGTCAATGGATTTGGACCATAGCTTCAATGGACTGAAAATCACCATTAACAATTAAATCCTAACCTCTGCCATCAAGAAAATGGAAGAAGAGAGGAAAATTTAAGTAAGGAAGCTTACAATTGGTATTTAGGAGCTTCAGAATACTCCCGATAATCAGTTCTCCTAAGCCCTAGCACTGCTCCTTCATTCTCTTTGTTTTTCTCTTCCTCTTCTCTATTTATTTCACGCAGGTACGAAGCTGATATATCAAAATTTTGGCCGTGCGCCGCGGCGCATGTTACCCTCTGCCGTGATGCATGGCGTAGAGGATTCCATTAGATTTAAAAATTGCCTTTGTGCACCATGACAGGCGACCACCTAACACAGCATATGGCACAAAGAGCAATGCTTCACTTTTTCTACCTCTTTCCTTTCCCAAGTGGCCTACCACGATTCGGACCCACTTCTAGGGCTAAATTCACAACAATTACACCAAGTTAAACCCCTCTGGCCACATACTCACTAATACATTTATTTGGTTTATTTGAATCTAATAAATCTTGATTTAAAATTGAAGATGTTAAATCTTTTCAAATGAGTTCTCGATTTTTCACTATTAAATGAATAAATATTATTCAAAATAAGACTAAATCAGAGTTATAGAGTATATAGAATCATAAAATACCAATCGTTTGAAAAATATTGCAAAAAGGGGAAAAAATATCATTTCACAAAATTATGGCTTGTTCGTTATGGCGAGCTATGCTGAGGCTAATTTGATCTATATAACAGTCAACATTCTTCACATAAATGGTAAGGGTAATTTTCTTTGAATTTTAAAGTTTAGGGTCTAGGATACTATTCGCACAATAGTTTATGATATGTGGTGCTCATTAACTGATGATAGATCAGCAAGGGACTATTACATCAACATTTGACAAGGCCCCATAAAGTCAACATTAACAGCGTTATCTATAAGTTAATGGTAGGGGTAATTTGCTTTGGATTTATAAATTTAGGGTCCATTTTACACATTTTAAGAGTTCAGGATCCATAATGCTTTTTGCGTAATACTTTAGGGTCCAGAATGCTCATCAATCCTATATTTGACTGTTACTTCATAATAAGTGTCAAATGGATAATAATTTTAATATTACTTAAAAAATATAAATATTTGACATTTTTTTGTAAATAGCTATCAAATAATATATCAAATATATATTTGACAGTTATTATAAAACAAGTGTCAAATATTAATACTTGATGATTATTTCATAATAAATGTCAAATATTGCATTTTAGAATCTTGAAATCTAAATAATTTTAACTCACATTCAATGCACTCAAAACTTTAAAAAAATGCTCCAAATCCCTCCAAAACCACATTTTTGGCCAATCATTGATCATTTGCACTATATCGACAAGGGATCATGAATTTTGGGTATGTTTGCTTATAGAAGCCTTTGCTCGTCTTTGGGTAAGCTTCATATACCTTGCTTTATACCTTGCCACCACTAATGCTTCTTCATATCTTGATACATCTTAGTAACACTAAGATGCATTGCATATTTGCTATAGTAAGCCTCTTTTAAGAGGCTTCTCCTGATTCCCTCGTCCGCGGGCACATAAGTCTTGTCCTTGTATAAGATGACCTATCATTGCTAAACTAGAAGAGAGTAGTACGACCCTCTTTATTATACTCTGAGTGCTCAACAGGAACTTG